TTCTTTAAGCAGAAAAAAGCATCTTTCTATGGTAAACAAGTCATCCCAGACAAAATGCAACGGAAGTGTGTTGGTGGGGTGGGTGGGGTACATCACCATGTTCAAACCAAATTAACAGAGGCCCTAAATTAGCTCCAAACGTGTACTTACCAAGGCCTAAACACAAACAGATTTGAGTGCCAGGGTAGAAAACAAGCCCAGGGGTAGACAACATACCACACAATAGTTAGAAAAGATATTACATTACAGTAGTTAAAAGAGAATTAAAATTGGAAAGCATAACAACACCTCTGATAACTCTATTAGACAGGACATCCCACAAAGTTCTTTGTAATCTGGGACACCCCGTGTCTAGAAGAGAAAAAGTGTGGGCAGAAGCAACCCCTACCCATGTTGGGAGGGATGGTATAGAATGCGGGTGATTGCTGGAACTAGGACTGGTAATCTAAGATGGTTCAAAATATTCAATAAGGTATTATGTGTATGTCAAAATTAAAATGTTTTTGCATGTTTGCAAGAACACAAACGTTCCTGCTAAAGCAAACAGTGGGAATGGTCTCCGCTGGGCCACACTGACAGTAGGAACCCTAGGGCCTGCTCGCAGTTGCGACCTTTGCAACCTGGAAACAGGGTTGCCATCCTCAAACACAAGTAATATCCATTGTAAGTGACATATTCCAAAGCAGACCCAGCAGGAAGATATGTGCTCATCACAGGAACACTGTACAACATGAACTAGTGACCTATAACTTGCTGAACATATATGCTCCCATCACACATGAACAAACTTACTTACGAAAAGAGTTGGTGCACTCAATGTTGTATGGAATAATATTGTTGGGAGGGGTGACTTCAATGCGGTGCCGTGTCCAATAGTAGACAGAAGCTCCATGCAGGGTATGCTTGATCCCATGGGATGGGGGACAGATTAAATTAGTGCACAGGTTCATAGAAGCACTGGAATGTAAAATGCCTGGTGGATACAGCACCCTGACACCATTGACTACACATTCTACCCAACACCACATTCTACATAATCTAGAATTGACTACTTCATGATAAACAAAATTGCCTACTTCCTGATAAACAATGTTGAAATGGCAAAGGTTGATAGGTGTCAGGTTTCAAAACTGGCATGTAAGACTTTTTCGTTTATTACTGGCCCTTTAAGTGAACTTCATGATTTTCTACTCTAGTGGCCTCCCTAGCCACTAATCTATTCACTCACCTTAATAACCTCACCTGGATTAACTAATTAGGAGGCTTGAGAAGTCTACTCCCGGCACACAACAGTGCATTGACATTGAAGTCTATGCTCTGATAAAGAATCTCTGTTCCTGGTAATATCCTGTATTTTATCTACATTATTTCATCCTGTAGAGAACTTACCTGCAGTGCCTCATCCTGTACTCATCTGCATTTCCTCGTATTGAAAGGCACTAACCTGCATTACTTCATCTTGAACTTGCCTGAATTACATCCTACCGAAAGACTTTCCTTATCAGCTTCCAAGAATCCTGATTTGTGGCGTATTGCCTTCATTGAAGAATCTTAACTGCTTCAATTGCTGCATCACTGCATGATCTTGTAAGCAACCTGCATTATATTATTTTGGAATATACCTACCTGTTTCAACCTCTGCAACTCTGCATGATCCTGTATTGCCTTATCCTAAAAGGTATTTACCTATAACGAGCTGCATTTCAAACTATCCTGGAAATTCTTAACTACTTGGTATAACTTCAAGCTTGCTTGTATACAAAAGACTTTGTTAATTTACTTTCTAAAGATCTTGTTTGTGGCATATCGCCTAAACCCTTTTTTTTCTCACAAAGTATCCTTTTTGTGGCAGACTGACCTTTATTCTTTATTTTCATTAAATTTGTTATGTCTAATACGACAAATAAAGTTTTAACCAATAACCCTTGCAATAGTCTCCTCTCTGACCTGCTCAGGAGCATGACAATAGGACAGACATCGACAATATTACATGGTCGGACCACGCAGATATATCTATCACCTTTAGAAAATTGAAAACCGCATACTCCTGGACATAGAAAACATCTTGTTCTTACTTCAGGATACAGAGTTGGTCAGTACAACTCAAAAAATTATCTGAGAATATTTTGAACATAATATAACTCCTGAAATGCACAAGACTACAATCTGGGAATCCAACAAAGCGGTTTTACGTGGACATTTTATTAAGGTGGCAGGGAGCAGTCCAGAAAATGGAACAACAACATAAATCAAACCCAACTCCTGAAAACTTTACAGAATTGAGTGCCATTCTCAACACTTTAAAGGAGCTAGCCATAGAGGACTTGGCCCGTTACATATTATAATCTAAAAGATTATTTTACGAGAAGTCCAATAAAATGGACACTCTCCTGGTCAGGGTGTTGCATCCACATAGTGGAACTAAACTGGCACAACCATATGGGATCCCTCAGAAAGAGTAGGAACATCACTAGGAGGCATCAATCAGTGTTAACATAATACTACTCAACTTTATACAATCACCCTCCCCATCATAACAAAAATAACGCCCAATATCTTGCAGACATAAAATAATATTTTGCCACTTTGGCATAGCCTGATATACCAATTAGACACAGCCAATACCTTGGCATCCCCTATAACACAAGATCAGATAACCTCAGCTATCTTGGCATTAAAAGGAAATACTGCACCAGCCCAGACAGGTTTGATGGGGGATATTATAAAGATATTATAAAGTGTTTAGCAAAGAACTGGTTCCTCATATAGAAACAATTTCTTATGGTTTTGGACAAGGAGGGACACCAAATGAACACATTGTTCTAGTTAATATTGTATTGCTAACAAAAATTGGGAAGTGATGACACTCTGGTCTCCAGTAAGACCTATATCATTAACAGCAAACGCAAAAAATCTCACAGAGCGCTTGAATCAGATAGTGGGCTACCTGATAGATTACGACCAGGTTAGTTTCATACCTTATAGAAAGATTTACAAAAATACCCAGAGTGGGAGGATCTGATCTAGCGGTTGTGAGATACAAAAACACTGTCTCTGGTTCTTTCTTTGAATGTAAAGGAGGAGCTCAACGGAGTAATATGGACATAACTATTTGAGCTCCTTGGATTTTTCAAATACTACAGCAGTGAAAGCACTGTACTCTAACCCCAGAGCACAACACTCATTACTGGGCATGGCCAACTCCATTTTACTTGAGCAATGGAACACATCAGGAATGTTATTTGTGATATCCTTACAACCCCTGGTAAACTCAGTAAGAATGCATCCTAACACTTAAGGGAGTCGAGATTACAGAAAGCACCTTTAAAATGTCAGCCTATGCTGATGATGTAATGCTCAATTTGGCAGATCCAATTGCATCTGTTGGCTACCTACATGATATCCTGCAATCCTTTGGGCATATATCAGGATACATGGTCAATATGACAATATCAGTGGCTATGTCCCAAAAACATGGCTACTGCGGGCTTAAGCGTTATACCAACTCAAAGTCGAGAGAGAGGCTCTCTCTTAATTAGGTGATCACAGCTGATCCCACATTGCTGTTCTCCCAAAACTACACTCAAACAAACACCTAGTTTCCGATCAGGACAAATGTTTTCAGGATAGGACAAATCCATTCACTTATGATGAATATACTGCCTAGAATACTCTATTTCAATTCCTTCCGAGCAGGGTCACAATGTGAGATCTAGCCAGCCTACAAACCGCCATTGATGAATTCATATATTAGCATAAACACCACCGATTGGTCCAAAACTTACTATACCGACCAAAACTGAGTTATTTTTATTAACTAGCAGCACACATGGCCCAGGAGGTGATTCACTGGCATTCTCCCCATGACTGCAGATGCTGGGTTGAGATAGAGTCACTTATTATGGGGGCAGCTATTCCTCAGTTCTACATGTGGGTCCCAAGATCTCAGAGAGAACTTATATGCTCTCCCTACGCAGCAAAAGTTATATTTCTACATCTCTAGAATACAATTGGTGGGAAATATTTGCTAGGTTTATCTTCCTCCCTGATGACACCATACTTGAAAAATAAAGCATTTATACCTGGCAAGAGGGCAAGGGATTTTAGGGGCATAGAGAACATAGGGCTACAGCAATACTGACAACTATATTGCAACAATGAGATAATCAGTTTCAGACTTGCAAAGCATTAAACATTTGACTCCAGGCGATTACTTCCGGTACCTTCAACTCAAAGTTTTCACAAACTTAAAGTTGGTGAACCAAGCAGCACCTTCTCCATTACCATTTTTTGAGAAACTATGCCTAGATGAAACCACGCAGTTGAGTTTAATAACAACACTACCGTATATCAACACTTTAGTTCCTCATCTGGCAAGCATATGCAGTGTGCCAGATGAATGCTGGTGTAAGAGTGGAGAGAGAGAAACATATACATATGTGGGGGACCTGCTCAAGGGTGGAGAGATTGTGCAGGGAAGTAAACACCCTGATATAAGATATAATGCATGGCACTTCCTACTTGCCCGGCTGATAGAGGGTACACATACAAAGAAGCTATTTAACATGATCAATTTGGCAGCTTGGAGAGCCATCACACAATCATGGCTAAAACCTGAGATTCCAACAGTCCTATTCAAAATTAAAGAAGCACACTACCCAAATTCCATAAACATCGGGGGAACCTTGGAAGGAATACTGTGAGTGGAAGTGGGAAATAGGGAAAGTCCTGCATATTTTGGCTTACCTCTCCCTGGCACCTTTCTTTTCTTTTTTTACTCCTTTATATATGTTTATTTTCAGTGGTTTGAGTTTAAAAAGCTAGACACAATTGCAATGTTAGACCCATCAAGACTCCCAAATATGGCAAAGGGGCAGAATACACCAAATACACCCTCAATGATGATTATTCTTGGCCAGGACCTACCTGTACATGTTGGTCATATCTGCATAATAGTAGATGATTTCTGGGAGACAGTAAAATAATATCATCAGACATGGTTGTAATGTGTTATATTGGTTTTATTGTTGATACATATACAAAATCTGTAGACATTGCCAATTATTGGATACACTTACAAATATTTATCCAAGAATATTACATTGGTGCCAATGTTAAATTAATTTCTATCAAAAAGAAATGCCTGTATTCAAATCTTATGGCTGCTTAGTTAAAGGGACACTATAGTCACCTAAAAAACTTTAGCTTAATGAAGCAGTTTTCATGTATAGATCATGCCTCTCAGGTTTCATTACTCAGTTCACTACCATTTAGGAGTTAAGTCACTTTGTTTCTGTTTCTGCAACTATTGCCACACCTGATTGACACAGCTTGCATGAAAAAAAAAACTGGTTTCACTTTCAATCAGATGTAATTTACGCTAAACAATTGTATCTCTTTCACTGCAAATTGAACTTTAATCACATACAAGAGGCTCTTGCAGGTTCTAGCAGGCTTTTAACATAGCAGGGGATAAGAAAATCTAAATTAAACAGAACTTGCAATAAAGGAAGGATAAGCATTAGATGACTCTTTACAGGAAGTATTTATGAAGACTGTGCAAGTCACATGCAGGGAGGTGTGACTAGGGTTCATAAACAAAGTGATTTAACTCCTAAATGACAGAGAATTGAGCAGTCAGACTGCAGGTACATGATCTATGCACCACTGTACACAAACTGTTTCATTGAGGTAAAGTTGTTTTGGTGACTATAGTGTCCCTTTAAAGTTCTATAACAGGAAAGTCACACGGAAGAATCTGGGGAAGGGTTAAAAGTAATACACCAAGGATAATGTTTCATGTATGGAAGATTGGTCTCTTTGCCCAAGAGTTCAGAACCTTACAACAAGATGGGATGGATACACAACAGGAGAGACTAAAAAAGGAAGGAGACAGTTAATATATTTTTCCTCCCCCTCTCTCCCCTTTCTGTCTGAATGCTCTTGCTGATTCACAATGACATAATGAACCATGTGCACTGCTAGTTACTGTAAACAAAGAAAGTCCCATTGTAACTTGGGAACTGAATAACAAAATGAATCCTTTTTGATTGACACATCTAACAATATTGTCCTCAACACTCTTCAGCAAACTATCTAAATTAATATTCCACTAATGAAAAGAAGAAAAATCCTTATTATTAAGCTTCACATGCCCCTACACACTTTTAGGCAAAAATCTATTATCAAAGTTGGACTGATTTAATACCCTCCTGATGGGATCTATCAAGTCATCGCTGATGTACATCATGATTTGGTGAATGACACTTTGGAACCAATATTTGTCTCTAGTGATTACAACTCTTGCCTAATAATGGCATCCAAAGATGAGGCAATTTTGCAATGATTACCATCTACTATGATAGGACAAATCCCCTCAGCTGGACCAGTAATAATGTTTAAGTGCCCAAAATATCACATACCCTCTTATTCAGGAATCACTAAAGAGAATTATTCTCATTATACAACATTTATTAGATCAATACAACAATTCGGCCTTTAAAACACCATACCATCAAGAAATCCTCCACTGAAGGGCAGTATCACTAGAACCACTTTATTCAAGATTGCAGAGCCATTAATGCTATTGTAGGACCCATTTGTCTACTGATTCCTAATCCAGCTACAATCACGGACACTGATTCTTTTTATATTATAATCCATTTTAAGCCTTCTTTCCTATTTCCTTACAAAAGGAAACCCAACATGTATTGGCATTTACCTATGAGGGCAGCCAACACACATTGACTAGGTGTCCACGTGGATACATAAAGTCCTGAAGGATTTTCAGGACATTGAACTTCTAAGGTCTGCCTTGATACAGTAGTTTGATAACTTATTACTCACCTCACCTGGTTTAGGCACTGTGGCCTTGATTTAAGATTTTTGGATAATCTTTTCAGTTAATCTAATGTTTTTGGATAAACTTTTTAAATTATTGAATATTATAAAAAATATTTTAATATTTTACTATTTAATATTTTCTGAGATATTGATATATTTTATATGTAATATATTTTTGATATTGTAATATAAAAAAAATCATTTTTTTTAAAAATGTATCCAGAAATACAAAATCATTTGAAAAGCTCAACAAAAATATTAAACAGAGGCCAGTGCAGCAGAACTGTCTGAAACATCTGCACCTTTTTGCTAAAAAAGGAACAAAACTATAATCGTGACTCACTGATAAATAGTTGGGTCACAACTTGTCAAATGAATCGCATTCTCTGTGCTTCAAGTGCATGTAGACTGCATGACATGTAAATGCACCGTAAAGGGAGTAAGATCATTTTTAGGCAGTTTTGTTCCAAACTACAATTTGCCTGAATTTTGGTCGATGGGGTGATCGTCTGAATTCCCAAACCCTGGGAAAAAAAAGTAGCTGAATCACGAAACAAACAAAATGCACAATGGATTTATGTTTGTTTTTATTTACGATTTGGGATTCCACCAGTGCAGGCAAAAAAGAGTAATTCACCATATGGCCAAAATCCGGCCATCCTGAATTTATTTTTTTGAGCCAAAACAAATGTTTCCGCTGTGCACAATTCTAGATGCCACATTTGTCATCAATAGTTGCCCCTATACGAACCCTCACTCAGAAAGGAATATTTTAAACCTACCTTCTATAACCCAAGTAATGTGAATGAGCCTTTTTGGTTCTCCAGACATTTATTTTCTGCCCCTGCTTTGGGACTTCCAAATTATGGATTACCTAAGACTTTATTTTGCCATGGTTTGCTTCTGGGTTCTTACCTAGTAGTATGGCTTTACTTATCATCCAATTGTCCATACTACAGTGCTGCCTTAGATTCAGTGGCAGCTTGTTTTGTATAGCCGCCACTGCCCTGTTAATGGAATCAGCTGTGAACCTTTGGCACTCTCTCTTGAGCACTTGGTCAGACAACTGACACTCTGATAGAAGGTGCATAAATATGGCTATCAGCCAGGGGAATAGGAAACGTAGTCAAGTAATTTAATCAAATATTACAAGAATTAAACAAAAAATAACAAGATGGTATATTAACCATAAAAATTTAAAGAATTGATGACAGTATTCCTTTAAGTTTAATTTATTTGTTTTAAACACGATAACATGATTGTATATATATCAGTTATTGTTATTGTTTTGTTAGCTAGCCAAGTTGCAGCCTTCTATACTAATGACACCTGTTATGTTTGTTTTAATTTAAAGAATAATGTAGCCAATGGCACACCCTTTAACTGCATTCCAGCCAGGGCACACGAGTTTATCCCATTGTACAGCGCTACGGAATTTGATGGAGTTATATAAATAATATAATAATAATAATAATGGTGTTCAGTTTACCGCCATAGCTGGGACCCAGAGATTATTCTCTCTCCTACATTTAAAGGAGTTGAGAAATACTACTCCGATTCCTATTCTGATTCCTATAATGTTCCCGTTGTTTAGCTTAACATATGCATGTTTAGTTCTAGTTGCAGATTGCATGAATCTGAGCAATATAAAGAACACTGACGTGAATTTATTACAACCGTTAACTCTACCTTTGAAAATAACCATGGTTACTAGTTTTGACTTAACCATAAAATCTGTATTACTAGTGATACAGTCATTAGGTAGCACATGTTTAGCCCAACCTAGAGATTTGTTTAAGAGAGATCACGGATCTTCCTAGGAATTTCGTAATGTAATTATATTATGGTATGTACTAAAGGGATCATTGAGAGTTAAAACAAAACCAATAGTTTTAATTTATGTTGAAATTTATGAAGAAATTATTTGCCTATCCCACTACCCCCTTTTCACAGCCATTTTATGCACCGTGAGCCAGCTATCCTATCCAATGTTAACTGTTTTGCAACCATCAGCTGCTTTTTTGCTTGCTGCACTCTCTGACGGGCCATTCCAAAAGGTAACACACAAATTGTGAAAATTGTGAGTATTGCATCCGATAACTGACAGTAAAACCCAAGGTGCATAAAGACAGCTGACAGTAAAGGGAAGTGGGAAAGATAGGCAAGTGATTTCTTCAAAACCTTTAACATCTAGGCCTTGGGGATTCAACTGACCATTTTAGAGTAGAGAATTGAAGTGGAGATTCTCATAACAGGATGACAGAACACATTAACTCTCTCACTACCTGTTTGTAAACCCTGGAGGCAACTGTGGAAGCCCACATTGGCCCATAGACCTTTATATCACTATGTTCCCCTCCTCCATGCGGAGCCTTAGCATGTGGCCTGATCACAATAAGAAAGGCCTGATGATATAACTAACGGACTCATATGAAGGCTGCAAATGATCTAAATAATACAATTCCTCCTTCTTTAAGCAGAAAAAAGCATCTTTCTATGGTAAACAAGTCATCCCAGACAAAATGCAACGGAAGTGTGTTGGTGGGGTGGGTGGGGTACATCACCATGTTCAAACCAAATTAACAGAGGCCCTAAATTAGCTCCAAACGTGTACTTACCAAGGCCTAAACACAAACAGATTTGAGTGCCAGGGTAGAAAACAAGCCCAGGGGTAGACAACATACCACACAATAGTTAGAAAAGATATTACATTACAGTAGTTAAAAGAGAATTAAAATTGGAAAGCATAACAACACCTCTGATAACTCTATTAGACAGGACATCCCACAAAGTTCTTTGTAATCTGGGACACCCCGTGTCTAGAAGAGAAAAAGTGTGGGCAGAAGCAACCCCTACCCATGTTGGGAGGGATGGTATAGAATGCGGGTGATTGCTGGAACTAGGACTGGTAATCTAAGATGGTTCAAAATATTCAATAAGGTATTATGTGTATGTCAAAATTAAAATGTTTTTGCATGTTTGCAAGAACACAAACGTTCCTGCTAAAGCAAACAGTGGGAATGGTCTCCGCTGGGCCACACTGACAGTAGGAACCCTAGGGCCTGCTCGCAGTTGCGACCTTTGCAACCTGGAAACAGGGTTGCCATCCTCAAACACAAGTAATATCCATTGTAAGTGACATATTCCAAAGCAGACCCAGCAGGAAGATATGTGCTCATCACAGGAACACTGTACAACATGAACTAGTGACCTATAACTTGCTGAACATATATGCTCCCATCACACATGAACAAACTTACTTACGAAAAGAGTTGGTGCACTCAATGTTGTATGGAATAATATTGTTGGGAGGGGTGACTTCAATGCGGTGCCGTGTCCAATAGTAGACAGAAGCTCCATGCAGGGTATGCTTGATCCCATGGGATGGGGGACAGATTAAATTAGTGCACAGGTTCATAGAAGCACTGGAATGTAAAATGCCTGGTGGATACAGCACCCTGACACCATTGACTACACATTCTACCCAACACCACATTCTACATAATCTAGAATTGACTACTTCATGATAAACAAAATTGCCTACTTCCTGATAAACAATGTTGAAATGGCAAAGGTTGATAGGTGTCAGGTTTCAAAACTGGCATGTAAGACTTTTTCGTTTATTACTGGCCCTTTAAGTGAACTTCATGATTTTCTACTCTAGTGGCCTCCCTAGCCACTAATCTATTCACTCACCTTAATAACCTCACCTGGATTAACTAATTAGGAGGCTTGAGAAGTCTACTCCCGGCACACAACAGTGCATTGACATTGAAGTCTATGCTCTGATAAAGAATCTCTGTTCCTGGTAATATCCTGTATTTTATCTACATTATTTCATCCTGTAGAGAACTTACCTGCAGTGCCTCATCCTGTACTCATCTGCATTTCCTCGTATTGAAAGGCACTAACCTGCATTACTTCATCTTGAACTTGCCTGAATTACATCCTACCGAAAGACTTTCCTTATCAGCTTCCAAGAATCCTGATTTGTGGCGTATTGCCTTCATTGAAGAATCTTAACTGCTTCAATTGCTGCATCACTGCATGATCTTGTAAGCAACCTGCATTATATTATTTTGGAATATACCTACCTGTTTCAACCTCTGCAACTCTGCATGATCCTGTATTGCCTTATCCTAAAAGGTATTTACCTATAACGAGCTGCATTTCAAACTATCCTGGAAATTCTTAACTACTTGGTATAACTTCAAGCTTGCTTGTATACAAAAGACTTTGTTAATTTACTTTCTAAAGATCTTGTTTGTGGCATATCGCCTAAACCCTTTTTTTTCTCACAAAGTATCCTTTTTGTGGCAGACTGACCTTTATTCTTTATTTTCATTAAATTTGTTATGTCTAATACGACAAATAAAGTTTTAACCAATAACCCTTGCAATAGTCTCCTCTCTGACCTGCTCAGGAGCATGACAATAGGACAGACATCGACAATATTACATGGTCGGACCACGCAGATATATCTATCACCTTTAGAAAATTGAAAACCGCATACTCCTGGACATAGAAAACATCTTGTTCTTACTTCAGGATACAGAGTTGGTCAGTACAACTCAAAAAATTATCTGAGAATATTTTGAACATAATATAACTCCTGAAATGCACAAGACTACAATCTGGGAATCCAACAAAGCGGTTTTACGTGGACATTTTATTAAGGTGGCAGGGAGCAGTCCAGAAAATGGAACAACAACATAAATCAAACCCAACTCCTGAAAACTTTACAGAATTGAGTGCCATTCTCAACACTTTAAAGGAGCTAGCCATAGAGGACTTGGCCCGTTACATATTATAATCTAAAAGATTATTTTACGAGAAGTCCAATAAAATGGACACTCTCCTGGTCAGGGTGTTGCATCCACATAGTGGAACTAAACTGGCACAACCATATGGGATCCCTCAGAAAGAGTAGGAACATCACTAGGAGGCATCAATCAGTGTTAACATAATACTACTCAACTTTATACAATCACCCTCCCCATCATAACAAAAATAACGCCCAATATCTTGCAGACATAAAATAATATTTTGCCACTTTGGCATAGCCTGATATACCAATTAGACACAGCCAATACCTTGGCATCCCCTATAACACAAGATCAGATAACCTCAGCTATCTTGGCATTAAAAGGAAATACTGCACCAGCCCAGACAGGTTTGATGGGGGATATTATAAAGATATTATAAAGTGTTTAGCAAAGAACTGGTTCCTCATATAGAAACAATTTCTTATGGTTTTGGACAAGGAGGGACACCAAATGAACACATTGTTCTAGTTAATATTGTATTGCTAACAAAAATTGGGAAGTGATGACACTCTGGTCTCCAGTAAGACCTATATCATTAACAGCAAACGTAAAAAATCTCACAGAGCGCTTGAATCAGATAGTGGGCTACCTGATAGATTACGACCAGGTTAGTTTCATACCTTATAGAAAGATTTACAAAAATACCCAGAGTGGGAGGATCTGATCTAGCGGTTGTGAGATACAAAAACACTGTCTCTGGTTCTTTCTTTGAATGTAAAGGAGGAGCTCAACGGAGTAATATGGACATAACTATTTGAGCTCCTTGGATTTTTCAAATACTACAGCAGTGAAAGCACTGTACTCTAACCCCAGAGCACAACACTCATTACTGGGCATGGCCAACTCCATTTTACTTGAGCAATGGAACACATCAGGAATGTTATTTGTGATATCCTTACAACCCCTGGTAAACTCAGTAAGAATGCATCCTAACACTTAAGGGAGTCGAGATTACAGAAAGCACCTTTAAAATGTCAGCCTATGCTGATGATGTAATGCTCAATTTGGCAGATCCAATTGCATCTGTTGGCTACCTACATGATATCCTGCAATCCTTTGGGCATATATCAGGATACATGGTCAATATGACAATATCAGTGGCTATGTCCCAAAAACATGGCTACTGCGGGCTTAAGCGTTATACCAACTCAAAGTCGAGAGAGAGGCTCTCTCTTAATTAGGTGATCACAGCTGATCCCACATTGCTGTTCTCCCAAAACTACACTCAAACAAACACCTAGTTTCCGATCAGGACAAATGTTTTCAGGATAGGACAAATCCATTCACTTATGATGAATATACTGCCTAGAATACTCTATTTCAATTCCTTCCGAGCAGGGTCACAATGTGAGATCTAGCCAGCCTACAAACCGCCATTGATGAATTCATATATTAGCATAAACACCACCGATTGGTCCAAAACTTACTATACCGACCAAAACTGAGTTATTTTTATTAACTAGCAGCACACATGGCCCAGGAGGTGATTCACTGGCATTCTCCCCATGACTGCAGATGCTGGGTTGAGATAGAGTCACTTATTATGGGGGCAGCTATTCCTCAGTTCTACATGTGGGTCCCAAGATCTCAGAGAGAACTTATATGCTCTCCCTACGCAGCAAAAGTTATATTTCTACATCTCTAGAATACAATTGGTGGGAAATATTTGCTAGGTTTATCTTCCTCCCTGATGACACCATACTTGAAAAATAAAGCATTTATACCTGGCAAGAGGGCAAGGGATTTTAGGGGCATAGAGAACATAGGGCTACAGCAATACTGACAACTATATTGCAACAATGAGATAATCAGTTTCAGACTTGCAAAGCATTAAACATTTGACTCCAGGCGATTACTTCCGGTACCTTCAACTCAAAGTTTTCACAAACTTAAAGTTGGTGAACCAAGCAGCACCTTCTCCATTACCATTTTTTGAGAAACTATGCCTAGATGAAACCACGCAGTTGAGTTTAATAACAACACTACCGTATATCAACACTTTAGTTCCTCATCTGGCAAGCATATGCAGTGTGCCAGATGAATGCTGGTGTAAGAGTGGAGAGAGAGAAACATATACATATGTGGGGGACCTGCTCAAGGGTGGAGAGATTGTGCAGGGAAGTAAACACCCTGATATAAGATATAATGCATGGCACTTCCTACTTGCCCGGCTGATAGAGGGTACACATACAAAGAAGCTATTTAACATGATCAATTTGGCAGCTTGGAGAGCCATCACACAATCATGGCTAAAACCTGAGATTCCAACAGTCCTATTCAAAATTAAAGAAGCACACTACCCAAATTCCATAAACATCGGGGGAACCTTGGAAGGAATACTGTGAGTGGAAGTGGGAAATAGGGAAAGTCCTGCATATTTTGGCTTACCTCTCCCTGGCACCTTTCTTTTCTTTTTTTACTCCTTTATATATGTTTATTTTCAGTGGTTTGAGTTTAAAAAGCTAGACACAATTGCAATGTTAGACCCATCAAGACTCCCAAATATGGCAAAGGGGCAGAATACACCAAATACACCCTCAATGATGATTATTCTTGGCCAGGACCTACCTGTACATGTTGGTCATATCTGCATAATAGTAGATGATTTCTGGGAGACAGTAAAATAATATCATCAGACATGGTTGTAATGTGTTATATTGGTTTTATTGTTGATACATATACAAAATCTGTAGACATTGCCAATTATTGGATACACTTACAAATATTTATCCAAGAATATTACATTGGTGCCAATGTTAAATTAATTTCTATCAAAAAGAAATGCCTGTATTCAAATCTTATGGCTGCTTAGTTAAAGGGACACTATAGTCACCTAAAAAACTTTAGCTTAATGAAGCAGTTTTCATGTATAGATCATGCCTCTCAGGTTTCATTGCTCAGTTCACTACCATTTAGGAGTTAAGTCACTTTGTTTCTGTTTCTGCAACTATTGCCACACCTGATTGACACAGCTTGCATGAAAAAAAAAACTGGTTTCACTTTCAATCAGATGTAATTTACGCTAAACAATTGTATCTCTTTCACTGCAAATTGAACTTTAATCACATACAAGAGGCTCTTGCAGGTTCTAGCAGGCTTTTAACATAGCAGGGGATAAGAAAATCTAAATTAAACAGAACTTGCAATAAAGGAAGGATAAGCATTAGATGACTCTTTACAGGAAGTATTTATGAAGACTGTGCAAGTCACATGCAGGGAGGTGTGACTAGGGTTCATAAACAAAGTGATTTAACTCCTAAATGACAGAGAATTGAGCAGTCAGACTGCAGGTACATGATCTATGCACCACTGTACACAAACTGTTTCATTGAGGTAAAGTTGTTTTGGTGACTATAGTGTCCCTTTAAAGTTCTATAACAGGAAAGTCACACGGAAGAATCTGGGGAAGGGTTAAAAGTAATACACCAAGGATAATGTTTCATGTATGGAAGATTGGTCTCTTTGCCCAAGAGTTCAGAACCTTACAACAAGATGGGATGGATACACAACAGGAGAGACTAAAAAAGGAAGGAGACAGTTAATATATTTTTCCTCCCCCTCTCTCCCCTTTCTGTCTGAATGCTCTTGCTGATTCACAATGACATAATGAACCATGTGCACTGCTAGTTACTGTAAACAAAGAAAGTCCCATTGTAACTTGGGAACTGAATAACAAAATGAATCCTTTTTGATTGACACATCTAACAATATTGTCCTCAACACTCTTCAGCAAACTATCTAAATTAATATTCCACTAATGAAAAGAAGAAAAATCCTTATTATTAAGCTTCACATGCCCCTACACACTTTTAGGCAAAAATCTATTATCAAAGTTGGACTGATTTAATACCCTCCTGATGGGATCTATCAAGTCATCGCTGATGTACATCATGATTTGGTGAATGACACTTTGGAACCAATATTTGTCTCTAGTGATTACAACTCTTGCCTAATAATGGCATCCAAAGATGAGGCAATTTTGCAATGATTACCATCTACTATGATAGGACAAATCCCCTCAGCTGGACCAGTAATAATGTTTAAGTGCCCAAAATATCACATACCCTCTTATTCAGGAATCACTAAAGAGAATTATTCTCATTATACAACATTTATTAGATCAATACAACAATTCGGCCTTTAAAACACCATACCATCAAGAAATCCTCCACTGAAGGGCAGTATCACTAGAACCACTTTATTCAAGATTGCAGAGCCATTAATGCTATTGTAGGACCCATTTGTCTACTGATTCCTAATCCAGCTACAATCACGGACACTGATTCTTTTTATATTATAATCCATTTTAAGCCTTCTTTCCTATTTCCTTACAAAAGGAAACCCAACATGTATTGGCATTTACCTATGAGGGCAGCCAACACACATTGACTAGGTGTCCACGTGGATACATAAAGTCCTGAAGGATTTTCAGGACATTGAACTTCTAAGGTCTGCCTTGATACAGTAGTTTGATAACTTATTACTCACCTCACCTGGTTTAGGCACTGTGGCCTTGATTTAAGATTTTTGGATAATCTTTTCAGTTAATCTAATGTTTTTGGATAAACTTTTTAAATTATTGAATATTATAAAAAATATTTTAATATTTTACTATTTAATATTTTCTGAGATATTGATAAATTTTATATGTAATATATTTTTGATATTGTAATATAAAAAAAATCATTTTTTTTAAAAATGTATCCAGAAATACAAAATCATTTGAAAAGCTCAACAAAAATATTAAACAGAGGCCAGTGCAGCAGAACTGTCTGAAACATCTGCACCTTTTTGCTAAAAAAGGAACAAAACTATAATCGTGACTCACTGATAAATAGTTGGGTCACAACTTGTCAAATGAATCGCATTCTCTGTGCTTCAAGTGCATGTAGACTGCATGACATGTAAATGCACCGTAAAGGGAGTAAGATCATTTTTAGGCAGTTTTGTTCCAAACTACAATTTGCCTGAATTTTGGTCGATGGGGTGATCGTCTGAATTCCCAAACCCTGGGAAAAAAAAGTAGCTGAATCACGAAACAAACAAAATGCACAATGGATTTATGTTTGTTTTTATTTACGATTTGGGATTCCACCAGTGCAGGCAAAAAAGAGTAATTCACCATATGGCCAAAATCCGGCCATCCTGAATTTATTTTTTTGAGCCAAAACAAATGTTTCCGCTGTGCACAATTCTAGATGCCACATTTGTCATCAATAGTTGCCCCTATACGAACCCTCACTCAGAAAGGAATATTTTAAACCTACCTTCTATAACCCAAGTAATGTGAATGAGCCTTTTTGGTTCTCCAGACATTTATTTTCTGCCCCTGCTTTGGGACTTCCAAATTATGGATTACCTAAGACTTTATTTTGCCATGGTTTGCTTCTGGGTTCTTACCTAGTAGTATGGCTTTACTTATCATCCAATTGTCCATACTACAGTGCTGCCTTAGATTCAGTGGCAGCTTGTTTTGTATAGCCGCCACTGCCCTGTTAATGGAATCAGCTGTGAACCTTTGGCACTCTCTCTTGAGCACTTGGTCAGACAACTGACACTCTGATAGAAGGTGCATAAATATGGCTATCAGCCAGGGGAATAGGAAACGTAGTCAAGTAATTTAATCAAATATTACAAGAATTAAACAAAAAATAACAAGATGGTATATTAACCATAAAAATTTAAAGAATTGATGACAGTATTCCTTTAAGTTTAATTTATTTGTTTTAAACACGATAACATGATTGTATATATATCAGTTATTGTTATTGTTTTGTTAGCTAGCCAAGTTGCAGCCTTCTATACTAATGACACCTGTTATGTTTGTTTTAATTTAAAGAATAATGTAGCCAATGGCACACCCTTTAACTGCATTCCAGCCAGGGCACACGAGTTTATCCCATTGTACAGCGCTACGGAATTTGATGGAGTTATATAAATAATATAATAATAATAATAATGGTGTTCAGTTTACCGCCATAGCTGGGACCCAGAGATTATTCTCTCTCCTACATTTAAAGGAGTTGAGAAATACTACTCCGATTCCTATTCTGATTCCTATAATGTTCCCGTTGTTTAGCTTAACATATGCATGTTTAGTTCTAGTTGCAGATTGCATGAATCCGAGCAATAAAAAGAACACTGACGTGAATTTATTACAACCGTTAACTCTACCTTTGAAAATAACCATGGTTACTAGTTTTGACTTAACCATAAAATCTGTATTACTAGTGATACAGTCATTAGGTAGCACATGTTTAGCCCAACCTAGAGATTTGTTTAAGAGAGATCACGGATCTTCCTAGGAATTTCGTAATGTAATTATATTATGGTATGTACTAAAGGGATCATTGAGAGTTAAAACAAAACCAATAGTTTTCATTTATGTTGAAATTTATGAAGAAATTATTTGCCTATCCCACTACCCCCTTTTCACAGCCATTTTATGCACCGTGAGCCAGCTATCCTATCCAATGTTAACTGTTTTGCAACCATCAGCTGCTTTTTTGCTTGCTGCACTCTCTGACGGGCCATTCCAAAAGGTAACACACAAATTGTGAAAATTGTGAGTATTGCATCCGATAACTGACAGTAAAACCCAAGGTGCATAAAGACAGCTGACAGTAAAGGGAAGTGGGAAAGATAGGCAAGTGATTTCTTCAAAACCTTTAACATACATAAATTAAAAATGTAAGGTATGGTATTAAGATATATAAGAAATTTCACAACAGTTATCCTTTAAGCAAGTGTACTAGGTAATTGTTAACACCCCTTCTCTTGTAATGTATGTAACAATCTGTCCAGAAATCCAGGTTTGTGTATGATGTGCACTGTGCTTTTCTCTTGCAGTGCCTCTATCAATAAACCCATTTACATTTTCAAATTCTCTTCAACATTATTAGAAATTCTGCAATGACACTATTAATTATTAAAGAAACATGGCATGAACATTTTCATGATGCTACGTAAACCGTAACTGATACTTCTCTGAAAATTATACCACTGAATATGTATTAGAACCTTTTACCTTGAAAAAACTATGGGGACTAGTTATGCCATTGAATAAAATAGTGAAAGTCACCTGTAACTTGTGTTAATGTGAAGTTTAATTTTCTTTTAAAATGTATCGTAAAAATTCAGCAAATGACAAATCCCAAGCCAGTTCAGACCAGACACACAGCAAACGAGAACAAAAACAGTGTTTCAGTTTGCCCTCTTCCACTAAATATATTCAATGGCAGAAAAGGCTTACACTTATAATTATGATAGACATGGAGGCACCTAGTTCATGGATAGAAGCAAATACAGCAGTATGGATTTCTACAACTAAATTTATTTTTCACACCTTACATAAAAACATATTTGTTGGGGCGGGGCCTGGCAGCCAAGATGGCCGGTCGCACATTCTCAGAGCTCCAGCCATGCAGCGCATAAACATGCAATTATTGACCGACGCACTGACGCTGGCAGCACAAGGTGACCACAGACCAACCCAAAAACGAACAAGCAACAGAATGTTACCGGTCCGGCACTGAAACGACGAGGAACAACTCAGACCGGCCATGCGGCCTCAACATGAGCGAAGCCTGAGGCCTGGGGTAGACGGCCGATTTCCCGGCACAGGACCCGCTCATAAGCGTGGATCTGACACAGTCCTACCACCCCCTCTGGACCAGCGGGGGATATCCCAGTCCTCGCTGGGGACAATAACCCCCGCACCACGGCCTGCTCAAGCAACGACGCCTAACGCAAGACGGGGCAGCCCAGGCCCAAACAAGATGGCAGCGCTGTCACAGCCTATGATGAACCGCACGCTTGACAAGCCTCCCAAGTACACAGGAGAGTTCTATGATAGGCTTTGTGCCAGACTGTGGACAAAGCTCCAAGCCCAGAGACAGGCCTTCAAGAGGGCGATGAAAGCAGTGGCGGCATGGATCCGACCGGCAACCCGGCGCCACCTAGGAGGGAATCCCCCTTGCACCTCCAAAGGAATGGAACCAAAACCAAAGACCTGCACAGAGGGAAACAGCCCCATGCACCTTCGGGCGCCGGCAGGTACACCCTCACACCTCAGTATGGGACTTACCAACGAGCACGACATGCTTGCCCACAAGAGGCCCCAACAACCCTCACGAAACAGGGCGCTACCCCGCACAAGAGAACCCGCAGTACACGGACGGAGATCCCCCCCACAGCCCACGGGATAGAGAGCATGGACCAAAGGGCGAGAGAACCCACCACTAAGACCCTCACAGCTGAACTTTGTGCAGACCCGCCGGGGTATTGGCTAGATGCAGTATGGGACTGAACTCTCGGGCACATCTAGCACCCCCCTGACAACCCTCACACGCAAGTAGAGGGGAAAACAAAGCTTTCGCTGATAATATTTTTCTTTTATAAAGCCAATCTACATAACCGTTAATAACATACAATCCTACGCAATACCACGTTCAGAGTGTATCTTGAGGTAACTTTACTAGCCCCCTCCAACACTCATGACACGATGCCATGATTACTGTATTTACTATAAATCTGCGCTCTAACTCTAACTCTGCAACGCCAGGCTTTAATTGAACATCATGTATATAGTTATGTAGCCTGTCATCCCATGACACCAGTTTAAAATACGCCCGCTACAATCATACAGCCAGACCGAGGGCATACCAGCCAACCTCACTGACACCCTACCTGCTGCTGCAGACATAACCCGGCGGTGACGGGCACAATAGCGTAACCATTATCCCATTCCCTGTTAATCCCTCAAATGCCTCTTCTGAACACGGGGCCCAACGGCTACCCTGCTGAAGTATTAACTATTTTTTTGTTAAATATAGGGGAAAAGCAAACATAATATTAAAAATCCTGAGAGATGACCATACCCCTTTAAAATTCAGCAAATTTGCTTTCTAAAAATACAAATATCCTTATGCTGCCCTCTACTGGTAAGTGTTGAAAATTTTTGCAATGCAACTTTTATTGGCAGTATACTGCAAGTTTAACATATAGCAAAATTGGGTTGCAAACTTTCAAGGCCTTAGACTGACGAGATTGATGACTAACTTGCTCATATTGACTTTTTTTTTATTAAAAGATATTTCTCTCATTAAAAGTTTTTAATATTTTAATTTAATCCTTATAACATATAATCTCTTTTTTTTAGTCATATGTATTAAAATTTTGACCAAATCACTTGCGTACCTTTCCCACTCCACCTTTCCGACAGTCATCTTTATGCACCTTTTGGTCGTACTGTCAGTAATCCCAACAAATGCTCACTATTCTGCAACATTTGCATTTCAAAATCTGTTGCTAGAAAGTGCTCCAGGACCAGGAAGAAAAAGTGTAGAGTTCTAAAAAGCAGCTGATTGTTGTAAATTAGTGAGTGTTGGCTGGGAAAACCAACAGTCTGATCTAAGATGCATAAAGATGGCTGTCAGAAAGGGAGAATGGCAACGGTAGGCCAGTGATATATTCAAACATTTCATTAAACATGAAGTAAAGAAGGTAAAAGAAGGTATGTTATAACATTATTATATTAAGATAAAGAAAAAGGCTTAAATCTCCACTATAGGCACCCAGACCACTTCAGCTTAATGAAGTGGTCTTGGTGCC